ACAGACTGCAGATTTCACTTTGTTGAATGTTGGGTAGTTTTGTAATTTACAAATAATCTTCAGCATTGTTCTAAGAAACAGTTACTTGGAAACAAATTTGATTCTTTTAAATAATACATCTGATAATGGGTTAATATCCAAATTTTATAAGGAACACATACAACTTAACAAAAGGAAGACAAACAATCCAATTAAAAAATGGGCAAAGGACCTAGACACTTCTCCAAAGTGGATATACAAATAGCCAAGAGACATACAAAAGAATACTCAAAGTCACTGATCATCAGAGAGATGCAAACTAAAATGACAATGAGATATCCTGTCATGTTTATCAGAATGGCTACCGAAACAAATCAACAGATGACAAGTGCTGGCAAGGGTATGAAGAAAAAGGAATCCTAGTACACTGCTGGTGGGTATGCCATTATGAAAAAAAAAAAAAAAAAAAATGGCAGCCATTATGTAAAAAGAACTATAGTATTTTCTTAAAAATTAAATATGGAACTGCTATTGGAAGATCCCACTTCTAGGAATATATCTAGAAATATATTCTAAGAAGCCTGAAAAACCAATCAGAAAGAATATATGCACCCCTATGTTCATATCAGTTCAGTTTACAATAGCTAAGATCTGGAAACAGTCCAAGTGTCCATCAGTAGATGAGTGGATAAAAAAGCTGGTACATCTACACCGTGGAGTACAGTGATAAAAAAATAAGGATCTCTTACCCTTTGAGTCAGCATGGAGGGACCTAGAGAGTATTATGCTACATAAAATAAGCCAGTCAGAGAAAGACAATGATCACATGATCTCACTCATCTGTGGAATCTAATGAAAAAAATAGATGCAGAGAAACAGAGGCATGGAACAGAATGTGGAATCTCTGAGGGAAGGTGAGGAAGGCTGGGTGAGAGGGAAGAGATCAGCCAAAGAACTTGTATGCATATATGCATAACCCTTGGGCCCAGACAATAGGGTGGTGAAGGCCTGAGGTGAGGAGCAGGGGGCAGGGGGGGGGGGGGTGTGTGTGGAGGGAAGGAAGGACTAGAAAGGGTCATGGGGTGGGAAAGGGGACATATGCAATACTTTCAAAAATAAAGATCTAAAAAATTATTTTGTTTTACAAATTTATTTCTCCTGTGTACCTTTCTTAATCTTTATACTTTGAATGCTTAATTTCTTTATTTTTATTTTTTCTTGCCTGAAAATAAAATATTTTAGTCTTTGTATTTTTCTTTAACCAGTACTGTGTCCATCTCGTAAAAGTTTAAATCTATACTGTCTAGCATTACTCTGCTTTTTAAAACCAATTTTTGGTTTGGAAATTACCAGAGTGATCCTTCATCAAATTTGCCTTTCTATCATTTATGTTTATCACAATGGTTACTTTTCTTTCTTAGATCTTGGTTTAAACTTGAAAAATGAGTTTTAAGATTTTGTCTTTCTTTTCTTAATTTTTTCTCTCACATGAATCACATCGACACATTATTTTATTCTCCTGAAAGCCCCCATAGGTGACCTCTCCTTGGTACAATAGCAGACCACTTACATACTTTTAGAAGGTCCCTTTAGAGCTTAAGCTGCCGGTCTGGTGGATGTGAATTTACATCCATTAGTTAATTGGGAAGCATTCCAGAGCCACCCAGAGGAATTCATCTCTGTAGTTTTTGTGAGTGTGTTTGATGATGATGCTGCTTTCTGTACTTGGCTTTTTCCTTCGGCCACACACTTTGCCAACCTCTGGCTTGGTTAGCTCCTCTCTCCCTCTGGTATTTTACACTATTTGGGCAGTCTCCACTTTCTCAGTCTTCCTGCTTTGTTCTCTGTGCTGTCTCTATGTCATACAAGTTCCTCTCTTAGTTTATTGATGACATTGGAAGGAAAGGGTCCATGGGCTGCTGCACCTGTGAATCGAGGCTGATGCTTGTCCCGACTTTTCACCTGTAAGTCTGAAAATGCTAGAGCGATTCTCAAACATGTCTCCCGTTGTGGTCCAAGGATGCTGCTGTTTCTCAGGAAAGAAAGCTCTCTGGAGACCCTGAGCACAGTTTGTAATCTGACTCATCTGTTCACCAAGATAACTGTTTTTGCTTAAATTTTCTTGGACCTGGATAACTATATCATCTAGTTTTCAGTATTGAACCAGCTGTATTCTCATTATTATGTATTGTAAACAAAATGGCTTATTTCATGGGATAATAAGTTTGCATGCACGCAGTGTCCATAGACTTGAAACACAAAACACACTCTGTAGTTTTTGCTGCTCTTTTATTGCTATTAAAATAATGCAGGCACGTGAACAGACTTCGAATAAAAAAGTAGGTAAAATAAAATAAAATCCCAACTCTCTCTCTTTTTTTTTTTAATTTTGTTAATCTTCAATATGAGGATAATTTTTCTTTTTCTTTTTTGTTATATTTTGTTGATGTTTTTACGGAGAGGAAAGGAGAGGGATAGAGAGTTAGAAACATCCATGAGAAAGAAACATCAATCAGCTGCTTCTTGCACACTGGGGATATGCCTGCAACCAAGGTATGTGTCCTTGACTGGAATCGAACCTGGAACTCTTGAGTCCACAGGCTGATGCTCTATCCACTGAGCCAAACCAGTTAGGGTCCAAAGATATTTTTCCATTGATTTTTAGAGAGTGGAAGAGGGAAAGAAGAGAGAAATATCAGTGTGAAACACATCAATTGGTAGACTCCCGCACTAGCCCCACCAGAGCCTGAGCCAGGGAAGATCCTGCAACCGAGGTGCCCTTGACCAGAATCAAACCCGGGACCCTTTGGTTCTCAGGCCAAACGACTCTGTCCACTAAGCCAATCAGCTAGGGCCCAAAACTCTTGATTATCTTATTTTTATTACCCCAAAAGTGTTATGATAATGGATGCACATTTGAGTATTAGATATAAAACATTTTATTTATTTATTTTAAATATTTTTTTATTTTAAATATTTTTATTGGTTTTTAGAGAGAGAGGAAGGGAGAGGGAGCAAGAGAAACAATGATTTGAGAGCAAAACATCAATTGACTGCCTCCTATTAAGCCCCCTATCTGGGATTGAACCCACAACCCTGCCATGTGCCCTGACTGTGAATCAAACCAGCAACCTTTTGGGGCACAAGACAATGCCCATCCAACTGACCCACACCAGCCTGGGTGATATAAACCATTTTCCAATTTTTCTTCATAAAAGAACCTTATACACAGAAGTATGCTTCACTTTTCTATGTCAATAATATATTATCATATTTCCACGACATACGTACGAGTCTTTCTAACTTTTTTAAATGGCTGCAAACACTTTACGTTTCTGATATTTTCATATCAGCATATAAGGTTCAATTTCATGCTCTTTAAATAACTGTAGAGTGTTTCATTATGTTAGTGTGTTACAGAAATGAAATTATTTATAACTATTTAGGTAATTGCTAGTTATTTGTTTTGGTTTTGCTATTTTAAAAAATAATAAAAATTACCATCTTTACAGGGTTTTTTTTGTTCATGTAAGAATGGTTTAAATTAAGGTAATGAAAGTTAGACATTTAAGTGAAAGAGTGATTAATTTGTTAGAGTTGGCAAATTTATGTAAAGATGCTACAAACATGGGAACTTCTATCAGTTTTATATTTATGCAATAAAAACTTCTACAAACTAAGGATGCTAATGTTTTTGTCATGCTTAAATAAAGCATTCCTATTCAGATATTATTTTAAGGTTATTTATCTAGTGCTTTCATTGTTCCATATTTTTATATAAAAATTCCTAGTGTATCTCAACATTATTTTAGTAGAAGATTTAATTAGATAATAAGTTTTTGGCCTCATTTATTGGACTTTATTGTTTTTATAATACTTTTAATTCCACATTTATTATATACTAAATATTCATATATATTTGAATTTATCTGAACAGACTCTGCTCTTTCAATGATATCTCTATTTTTATACCACCATTAAAGTTATTTAATTACAGTGGCTTTATAATGTGATTTCATACCTAATAAGAGGCTTCTACACAATAAACTTTACTTTCTATTGATATTCTTAATATTTCTTCCAGATTAATTTTATTGCCATATATTACACTCCAAACACTCATTTGTTATTTAAAGTTAAGTCAATTGATAGAGTCATTTGGGAAATAATGTGATTTTAAAATAAATTGTTCAAGAATGGTTCTTTTTATCATTATTGTTTAGTGGTGGTTTAGATGTATTACTTAAAAGAGATAATGCTGAGACCTATGTAGCTTTCCTAATTTTTCCAAATATCATAAATCTTGTAGATGACAAAATTCTATACCTTCAAAATTCCAGAAGGTTAATTCAGAAACTATTTAAAATAATAAATTAACGTAAAATAGCCAGATAATACATAATAATACCAAGAACAGAGTTAGACATCAACTACCTTGTTAAAATAATAGTGAGAATTTTCACAGGTAATGACTGTTTGGTTTTTACATAGAGTCCATTCTCCATATTTTAATCCTAATAAAACTTAATTTTTTCTTCAGGTAGCCTTCTCTCTTTAGATTCTAGGAGATCAAAAATAATGTAACTAGTACCACACCTCTGAACAATTAAATGTGAAACCTGTCTCCTGAAAAAGAAAGATTTTTGTCTCCAAAGACAGAGAAGCAGATGGGCCTAGTGATGCTGTTTCTGCAGTGAGCGGGCTCCAAGCTGAAGAACCCTGAGCGTAAACCTTTGGTAAGGGCCTGCAAGGAACATGCCCAACTGTTGCCCAAGAGGAGGATTCTATATGAATTCTTTCAGACAGCAAACAGACACACCCTATTAGAGACTTCTTTATTTTTTGAAACTGTACACATTAGTACATACATTCTTAACAGGATAGTATAGTATTTGCCTGATTTGCAAGACTTGCAGAAATTGAACTACTCATCAAAAGTTGTCTCCTAACATGTTGTAAAATAATTTGTAGAAATTCAGCTAAAACCTAAATAGCATATAAAAAGGGACCTGATGGCAGTTGCTGCAGTGTTGTCTTCAGCTACATGGTGTTTCCGTTGGCCAAAAACACGCTAAGTTGTCTCCCAGTTCAAAGCAGTCAGCACACCAATGGCAAGAAAAGGACACCTGAATCCCATGACAAGCATGGCAATGCTATTTTAGCTAGTGGAGCCCCTTTTTGTGTTGCTACACGGACATATACAGCAACACGAATTGGAATAGAATGGAACCTGTCTCCTGTTGGCAGAGTCCACCCCAAAGGAATGGAGAGATTAGTAATCCTCCCAGTTTTGAATTATTTCAAAACCAACTCATAATTGATGGCAAGTAAAAGCACTGTGTATCCATTAAAATATGGCATGATTGGAGAAATAAACTGCATTTGAAACCTTAAAAAAGGGGGTTGGGGGCTGATGAATTAACTTAGAGCCATTCCAGAATAAGGATACTTTGATATTTCTAATTGCTCAAAAGCTACCTGCTAAATTTTATTTATATAGAATGATTTAATTTTATTAAAGCATAAATTATTTATGCATCTTTTAAAACTTTTGTTTAATCCATGACTGATCATAGTTTGCAATATGACAATGATTATATTTGACAGTTTAAGGAAGCATCCCCATTCAATTCTCTTTAAGATTTTAAAAGCACTGTGCACTTCAAGGAACTCCTGGCAATTTCTAATCCAGCTTCAGAATGGTTATTGCGTTTGACTATTAACATGGGTGTGTCACTTACAAAATTGTTTACAATATATAAAGATATATATATATATATATATATATATATATATATAGTAATATATATGCTAGTAATATATATAATAGTTCATGAAAATTTATGAGATTTTGCATTTTTATGAACATTTTTGTTTAATATGTTTAAACATTGACATAAAAGTTTATTATTGCACACAGAGACCCAAAAAAGAAAAAAAATAAGAAAAATTATCAGTTCTATTCTGGTGTCTATGTACTCTATAAATATATTCTTGAAATCTTAAGGGCTCTTATAGATTTGTTATTTTAGTTACGTTTTTAATGATGCATCCTATCTAAATTGACAAGACTATTGGAATGTCTTGTTGCATAAAACTAAATCAATTCACAGAGAAATGTTAAAAATGCATTGACTGATTAATATTGAGGTGCATTATATGTAGGAACACACAACAGATCAAAGGAAAGAGGTTTTCACTATTCAAGAGCAAAATATTCATACATTATGCTCTAGACAATAATATATAATGGGAAAAGGCAATCACTCTATTGAATGGCTTAGTACCACTATAAAACACAGCAGCTATGATTTTCTTCTCCTCAGCTATGGTTTGAAGTCATATCTGAATCATGGAAAGGAACAGCTAACCATTTATAAAATAAATGAAGTCCAACAGAATCACAAATGAGAAATATTTGGAGGGTGAGGGCATTGTTCATATAATACATTTAGATAAGTTATCAATGATGCATTTTAGATATTTAAATCCCCTCAAATTAGAAACTATCCCTCCACTTATCCCCACATTGGGGTGTGTGGAGGAGGCAATCTATTGATGTGTCTCTCTCACATTGATGTTTCTCTCTCTCTCTCTCTCTGTCTCTCTCCTTCCTTCCACTCTCAAATACATAAATAATTAATTAAATGGAAAAAATATCCTCAGGTGATGTTTAGCAAAAAACTGAAATATTATAATGATTACTTATAAAGTATAATTTCCCTCAGGTGTTGATAGATAAGAGTGTTTACCCTAAGGTAAAGTCTTCTAGAATTAGAAAAGTTGACCCAGAGTTCCATTTATGTGGTTTGAGTTTGCCAAATATTCCACAGAAGGCAAAGGCTGTGAAAAATTAAGGGTACATACTAACTGCAGAATCAAGAGCTACCTGAGAAGTAAAAGTAAGCCATAGGGGAAAACAGATGAAAACCTCCAAATGATGGGTTCTTTTTTATTTTTTCCAAGTTTATTGAAATATAACTGCCACTTAATATTATACAAGTTTAAGGTGAATGACAAGATGATTTGATACATATATTTGTAAAATTATTATTACAATAAGGTTGGTGAATACATCCATCATATCAAATAAACACATTTTTTGAGAGGTGAAAATATTTAGTATTTGCTCTCTTTGAGTATTTCAAGTATATAATCTACATTAATAAAAGAGAAAAGTGCTAATTTACCATACCTCTGCTACACCCACAGCCAATCAGGAGTGATATGCAAATTAAGCTAACAAAGATGGAGGGTAAATTTGTATATGCAGAAGGGGTGGGCTGTGCCTGACACCACCCACAGGTTCCAATCCACCATGGGGGACTGGGTAGGCCAAGTGGGCAGTGCCTGATACAGCCTGCTGGGTAAAGGCTGCAATAGGTAATCAGGCGGGTGGGCAGGTGTGGAGAGGGCAGCCTCTGACATCACCCTTGGTGGATCAGGATTGGGCAGGCCTGGTGGGCTTTGCCTGACACCACCCACGGGGTCCAGGCCACCATCGGTATCCGAGTAGGCCTGGCGGGCTGCACCTGAGGCTGCCCACAGGTTCCAAGTCGCCACTGGGGACCTGGGTAGGTGGGGGTGGCCAGGGTCTCGGGGATCACTGTCTGCCCCAGGCTGCCTGCAGACCCTGGTAGAGCAGGCTGGGGTTGAACATTATAATGAAAACAGGATGATTGTTCCCAGCCCCCTGTGCCCTGTCTCTGGTGAGGAAAGGGCAATGGGCAGTTAGCAGGCACCAGGGCTTGGAAGGGACTGGGAGCAACCTGCTGGCATGCTCCCAGGAAGAGGTGCTGAACCATAAAGATGCAGAGGGCTGGCTCATGGAGGCATGCAAGAGTGCAGATAACACGGCTCTCGCTGGTGCTGAGCTTGAAAAGTGCATCCACAGCCTGGTGGACTAAATCACCCTTCTAAAGAAGGTGCAGGTATAGGAGATTGTTGAGCTGCAGGAGCAGATCCAGTATGCTCAGATCTTCATGGAAATGGATGTGTTCTCCAAGTCTGACCTCTCAGCCATGTTCAAGGACATCCATACCCAGTATGAGAAGCTGGCTACCAAGAATATGCAGAATGGCAAAGAATGGTACAAGAGCCTCTTTACTGGTAAAAGAGCAGCTTCAGCATGCTGACTGAGAGCACTGAGGTGTTTGAAAGCCATGGCCTGCTCAAGGCAATGACCCTGGAGATCAAAACATGCCAGGGCATGAATTAAGCTCTGGGAAAGCAGCTGCAAGAGTTGGAGGATACGCAGAACTCCCATGTTAGTGCTGTGCAGGACACAATCAACAAATTAGAAAATGAGTTAAGAATTACAAAGAGTGAAATGGCACGATATTTAATAGAATACCAGGACCTCCTCAATGTGAAGATGGCTTTGGACATTGACATTGCAGCTTATAGGAAACTCTTGGAAGGTGAGGAGACCCGGCTCAGTTTCACCAGCGTGGGAAGCATTGCCAGCGGCTACTCCCAGAGTTCCCAGGCCTTTGTCCATCTGTCTAAGGTGATTTACAGACCAGCTCCTACTTGATGTCCACTCGCTCCTTCACTTCTTAATACACCAGCCACATCCAGAAGGAGCAGATCAAGGTGGAGGAGACCATTGAGGCTGCAAAAGCCAAGGAAGCTAAGGATAAACCCCTCCTCTGAAGGAAAAGATGAAGAGGAGGAAAGGAAAAGGAGGTGGCTGATGAAGAAGAAGGAGAGAAAGAGAAAAAAGGGTGCCAAAGAAGAATTTGAGGATTCAAAAAAGGAAGAAGGAGGTGAAAGTGAAGGAGAAGATGTCCAAGAAACTAAGGATGAGAAGAAAAATTAAGGTGCTGGGGAGGAGCAAGGGACCAAGAAAAAATTGAACCCCTCTTTTCTTAATTATTTAATAATAATTCATAATAATCCTCCTGAAACCAGGTTAACCCTGCCACCAACCAAGCAGTTGAGTTCCCAATACTATATGAATTAAGAAGTCAATATATGTAACATTCTGAGGTGACTCAGGTTGGACATTAAATGTTGTGCTATGACTTTTCTCCTTATGTAGAATATCAGTTTGCTTGCAGAATTGCTTCCTGGCTTGCTGCCAGACTGTGCATTTTCCATGCTTATGAGTTCAGGATCTATGACAATGTGAATAATTCAGATGTTTACAATAAAAACACATGAATACATGAATTCACTGATGTTAATGTTAAACTTCATGGAAAAAAAATTGGCCCTTACATGATCATCATATTAAATTAATGCATCATTTTTATCTATCATTGTCCTGAATTTTTATTTATTTATTATACATAAAAAGTATCTAATTTATCATTATTTTTCTTATTAATTTTTTCTAGCTATTTTTCCTAGGATTGAATTTCTTAAAAGACATTCACATTTCCAACTGCATATTTTTGTTAAAATCATTACTTTCGTAGTCACCTAGATTCAAAATTTAGAGTCCTTTTCTCATTTTTCTTTTTACATTTTCATAGGCACTCAGGTGTTACATTCCTTTACTGTGTTTATGACTTGTCCCATATAGTTTTCTTCTTTTAATCCCTGCTGTTGTTACCAAAATGTATGTTCCTTTAGCTCCACAACAAAAGCCAAACTCATGAGCCAGGTGCTAATATAAAGGAAAGAGGTTTATTCAAGTGAAGAACTCTCATCCCAAAGCCCATCTTAACATTTCAGAGCAAGCAAGATTTTTTTTTCTCCTTGTTTTTGATTATCTTTATTGTTGAAGGTATTACAGATGTCTCTCCTTTTTTCTCCCATCACCCCTATCCACTCCACTACCTTCCATGAGGAAGCGAGAAAGCAGAACAAAGAAATCAGGGGGAGAGCCTGTGGACATGGAGGCAATGTCTTTGCTGGTCCTGATAAGGATATTTAATGTCAGCGTACTGGAACTCATCAGTGCCAAATTCCTGCAGCTGGGTGATCTGCCTCAACATGGTCAAGGCTTTTACTTGTACAAGCAGGAAACGGAACTGCTGATGATTGCAATATGCTTATAAAGAAACTGTCAGTATGTGAGTTCTTTTTATCAGTTTGTTAGCACATTTTATTCTAATTCTATTTCATGGTAAGTCAGAGCAGTATAAAATTTTTATTTCCTGTTACACTGTCATGTCCTTATTTCGTTCATATCCTTATTATAGCTTTCTCAAATAATGATGTGTTCTTAGGAAAAGAAGCTATTTTTAAGATCTTTAAACAATAATATGTAAATGTCTAGTAAGTGTTTATTTCATGGATATAGGGATAAACCAGTTTTCTAATACTAAATTATTAATACATATTTTTTTAATGGTGAGAATTTAATATGAGACTGAACAAATCAGATGAAGAGTGAATAAAGAGCTTTCCCTTGGGAGTGTGAAGGGAGCAATATGCTCAAGTTGGGAA